TGCAAATGCCAAAATCCAAATAGAGAAAAAAATAACATAACAGAAGCATTGAAATACTTTGTTGGTTTTTATTTTGTTTTATTTTCTTTTGGGCGAAATGTAACAGCAGCAGCGGCAAATTTGTTTTTATTTTCTACTGCAGCCGATCATGTAGAACAACAAACATGGAAATTTGCTCGAAGATATATTTGATTTAAGGTTTCGTACGTCAAAGAGAGTAATGGCAACGGTGTGAGTCAGTTTAGGCATGTGGATTTTAGAGGGGGAAATTGTACACATAAAAATGCACAGTAATTTGGTAAAGTAATTTTAAAATATAAAATTGTAATAATTAAAATTAAATATGAAATAAAATAAAAAGGTGCCTCTAGGCGTATAATTGCTGTCAACAATAATACGCACAGTGGATCCCCATGATAAAATAGGTTTCTAGCTATGAAATAAATGAAAAAATATTTGGGTATGTCAGAGATTAGGCATGTGGATTTTAGGTAGGATTTGTGCACATATATATTAAATTGGATAATCACAGCAAATTATTAGAGAAATAAACAGGAAAGGTACCTGGTGGTGTATAATTGCTGTTATTATGTATACGCACAGCGGTCAGATTGAGCTGGTGCGCATTGTGCACATACAAATTATATTTACAAAAATTATGTACAAATATCTTCATTTGGACATATAGGTATTGCGTCAACATTGTTACCAAATATGTATTTGTTCCGATTGTAGGTAATGTCGATTAATTTCTCCTCGTATCACTTATGCATTATGAATTCTTATTAAGATATATCTAAATTAAATAATTATAACAAATAAATAGTGGAATGAAATAAGAAGGTTCCAGGTGGCGTATAACTGCTGATATTGAGTATACGAAAATTGGCCCCCATGAAATTGAGAGTTATATTGCATTAATCAGACTGAGCAGGTGGGAATTTTGCACATAAAAATTATCTTCCCGAACATATAGTACAAATAAAAGTATTTCGTATAATTGAAATTGAATAATTATATAATTACAAAAAAAGAAAAGAGGAATATTTGGCGTACGCAAATTGGACCCCATGAAAAACGTACTCAATATCAGCACAAGAAAGTGCCAGCATTTGCTGTTATTTACATCATGAGTACTTGTCACACAGAGTTGTTCGTGAGTTTGATGCCTCAAACACAACATTTATCGGACTTGGCCCCCGATGGAAACGTAGAAAAATCAAAGCAGGAGATGTTGTTATACCAAAAACCAGTGAGCGGAGCAGTATAATCGGACGGGACCGATCAAATGATACCCTACACAACTACCACAGAACACAAACTCTCTGCGGATCTATATTAAGTGTCTGGATAATATTTCGCGATTATTGACCCTCTTGACAAATTAGAGATCAATAGCTACTCTTTACACAGAAAGGTCTTGGTTGATTTGACCCACTGACTAGTGACCGATAAGAACTGACTTTCTAATTAGTTCGCCAGATTCTCTTTCACATGTAATGTGTTGTGATGTTCGGCTTTTTATTGTGGCCTATAGAGCGACTTGAAAAAAACACACAAAAACTTACTTTCTGGAACATTTCATCCCCTAAATATCATCTGATCATCTCCGAAAATTATAGGCGTCATTCTTGACCATAAGCGGAATTTCGTGTAAAATTTTAAATCGATCAGCGCGAAATGTATGTGTTAATGATAATCAAAATAGGTAGATCTCTTTTAATATTTTCGTATAACCAATTCGGAGAACATACAACAATATAATTGGCATCAATTTAAAGGTCAACAACTCCACTCGCATACCCTATCAACCTCTGGGCTCTATATCCTTCAGAAGTAAATATATTTGTTATAGTATAAACAAAACAAAACAAAAGTTTGGTCTATTTGAACCGCTAAATATTGACCGATCATCAACAAAACTGTCATGCTTAATCTATGATCAGACCCCTCTCCCGGTGTAACTGTGATATTCGGAACTCCTCTAGAGCGACAAGAAAAAAAAAAAGAAAAATGAAGTTTTTGGTCCGTTTCATCCCCTAAATATTAACCGATCATTACCAATAACTGTAGGGGTCTTCTTTGGCCAGAACGTCCGTCATAAATGCAAAATTTCGTGACGGTTGGTCCATAACTGTGGCATGTATGGTGTTTTGAGTATTTATGGCACGGTGATCTCAAAGTGTAGAAAATCTTCGCACTAAAAATGATGCGTATTGGTCCATTTTTTATGGTTATTAACATTGAATAAAATTTTTAGTGTAGCCTCTATTTAAAAGAACGTCCCAAATTTTGGCATTTGGAAGGTTTGGAGACGCTTTCCAACTAAACTGGCTGTAATTTAGTATTTTTGAATCTCAATCGACCGGAAAAATTCATATCATAAATAATGAATATTTAATCATGTTTTGGGGTAAGCCCGAATTTAACTTAACTTGATTTCCTTGTCATTGTGTCAGGACTTTTGGGCGGATGATCCCTCAATTCCACGCTTGCAGCTCTGATAGTCCTTCTAGAAAAATTTTTAAAAATTCACGCTTGAAACTCAATAGTCCTTCAAGAAAATTATTTAAAAATTCTTCGCTTTAAGCTCTGATATCCCTTCAATAAAATTAAAAAAATCCAGGTTTTAACCTCCGATAGTCCTTCAATACAATTATTTAAAAAATCCACGTTTAGAGGTATAATAGTTCTCCAAGAAAATTATTTAAAAAATGTTTAAAGCTCTGATAGTCCTTCAAAAAAATTTAAAAAATCAACGCTTTGTGGCCCGAATTTATTATTTGTGGCTCTTATATCAATCAACCTCATGATGGACGTCTTAACTTGATTTCTTTGTCATTGTGTCAGGACTGTTGGGCGGATGGTCCCTAAATTCCACTCTTTGGCTGATCAAAAAAGGCCCAAGTTTGAACCGACGTGTGTAGGCTCGTATTGCCATGGTGTACAATGATGCCTCTCCCCTGTTCGAATTTCTCCTTAGGTGTCAGGCAAAAACAAATGTGGTGTACCACTCAGAACTGGCTGTATTACCTCGTTACACTCATTGATTGAATTTCATCACCAGGCAAAATGCATCGATGTACCCTTGTCCTGATAATCCTTAATAAAAATTGTGAAAAGTGATCGCACGAGGTAACTGACCCATAATAAAAAAGGGATCCCAAAATATATATTTATAGTAATTTGGGAAAGTTTTAAATTTGCAGGGGGGCCCAAGGGTTCGAGGATATGTTTTACATATAATATACCCCATTCGATTTACATAAACACATGTCATCGGAAAAATACCCTACCATAGTCCTAGATGAAGATCTAAAGCATTTTCTTCATGCCCTTTAGTGTTACAAGCAAAAAATGCATCTTAATATGTTCGGTAAGGGTTTTCGTCCCCATAAGGAGTTTTCCATCCCCAGACCATAAACTCGATTTTGTGTCACGGTGTATTTCAGAGGATATTGTTTTCTATATAAAATATTTTTGAAACTTTATATCGTGAGATTGCAAAACGATTTATATTTACAAACTTTTTTTATGGATATTTAAAAAAAGTTTACGGTATAAAGTTTAAGGAAGTTTACGGAAAAACTGTGTGGGTGGCGAATGATTTATATGCCCATGATTGCAATAAGTATACGCTCGAATGTCTGAGACAATCAAATTCACACAATACAATTGTTTAAAATTAATGTAAACATAGCATCTTTGAATTTTCGCCCCATTTGGAGGTAAATAACTGGCAAAGTAGAATTTTGGATCAGATTAGGTGCCTTCCTAAATATATTAATTGACGGATTATATTAATTGGCACTACAAATGGATGTGTTCTTGTTGACGTATATCCTGGATTTAAGACATATTCACAATTGCCAGCGCCATTATAGAATGTCTATAGTTTATGTAAATTATTAACTTCAGTTTATTGGTTTCAATTGTTTTTTACTTTTTATGAAATGATAAATTGCCCCATTTTTAAACACTGTTCCATTGCGAATAACAATTTCATTTCATTGTGTTGATTCCCCAAAAAGCCATATTTAGGCATTTTTTGCGGTTAGACCACAGAAAAAAGAAACATTTGCAGCAACATTAACAACAACAGGAGCAGTTTACAAGCAACAGTAATGGCAACAGTAAAATAAATGTAATGCACATGGAAAGAAAAAAAAGCAACAGCAGCAATCGCCCCTTCCATTCGGGAAGGCGCTTAAGCATATGTACAACAACGATGTTGTCAATGTATCAAAAGGAAATAAAACATTTATATGCCAAAACGTTTGATTACAAGTGAATTGTTTTAAGGAAAGTCGGCGAGGAACAGCCAGCCAAACGCTTTTGGCAATGATATCTTTTTAGAAAAGGTTACCATTTTCCCCAACCCAAAGGGTTAGTCGTACACCGGACAGACATCTGTGGATTGAAAATTTAAAATTGTTATACGAAGAATCAGAGAAAAAAGCCCAAACAAAATATATTTCTAAGCTCAAAAAGATTTATGCTTTGGCGTTACACCAGGCATAGCATGGCAAATTAATCCAGGAAGTGAATTTAGAAACGGAGGAAAAAACAAAAAATGGGAAACAGATGAACAGCCAGAACAGAATTGCATCAAGCAAACAGCAGTGGCCAAACAAAACCAATATGGTATCACTGAAAACCCTGCCTGGTCGGCATATATCTTTTTTTCGGTTATTGTCTTTGTGCAGTCAGAGCATTTTAGCTTCATTCAAAAAGCCATTGAATTGATTTGAAAAAATCGCAAATGGAAGGAAAGCTAACCGCACAAAATACAAGAAGCCAAAATGCTTGTCAGTTTTGGTTGTGGGTTCACAGCGGAATAAGACATATTTCTTAGGAAAACTTCAGTGCTATTGATTTTTTCTCTCTCTCCTTGGCGAATACAGTTTTCCATTGTAAATAATGTTGTTGTTGTTGCAGTTGTTGCTGCTGTTGGTTTATCTCATGGTTTGTTTATTTTCATGATCATGACTTTGACTTACCGATGCGACAATTGTCAAGTAGTAACGTTGTATTTTCTCGTAATCCAATGTTTTAGCAACGGTAACCTGTAAAAAAATCATAGGAAAAAATAGAAACAATAATATTAGTGGATTGGAAAAAAATATGCAACAATAAATAGGAATTATTATTTATATAACGATTTCGCAAGTCTAAAGAAAAAAACTTAAAAAAAGCTACCATATCCAGGCCTGATGGTTCAAAACAACAACGAACATTAACAAATCTGCTCATGTAATCCTGATAGTCCTTGAAAAGAAATACTTAAACTTGTTTAGATAATGATAAGATAAAAGATCTACGTTACTTTGATTTAAAAAAATCCCAGCATTTTTTTAAAAATCCATTCTTCAAGCTCTGATATTTATTTAGGAATATAAATAAAAGAGCTCTGAGAGTCCTTAAAAATTATTTAAAAATCCACGCTTAGAGCTCATTAGAGGTCGAAAATTATTAAAAAATCCAAGCTAAGAGTTCGAATAGTCCTTCAAGAAAATCATTTTAAAAAGCCACGCTTAGAGCTCCGATAGTCCTTCAAGAAAATTATTTTAAAAATCCACGCTTAGAGCTCAAATAGTCCTTCAAAAAATCCACGGTTAGAGCTCTGATAGTTTTTTGAAAAAAATGTCGAAAAAAATCAAAGAAAGTCCTTCACACGCTTAGAGCTCTGATAGTCCTTTACGAAAATTATTTAAAAATTCACGCTTAGAGCTTTGATAGTCATTTAAGAAAATTATTTAAAAATTCACGCTTAGAGCTTTGATAGTCATTTAAGAAAATTATTTAAAAAAATCCACGCTTAGAGCTCTGATAGTCCTTTAAGAAAATTAAAAAAATCCACGCTGAGAGCTCTGATAGTCCTTTAAGAAAAGTATTTAAAACATCTACGCTTAGAGCTCTGATAGTCCTTTAAGAAAATTATTTAAAAAATCCACGCTTAGAGCTCTGATAGTCCTTTAAGACTTGAACACTTCAAGCTCTGATAGTCTTTCCAAAGAATTACTTAAAAATACACACTTCAAACTCTGATAGTCCTCCCAAAAATTAGGGTGGGGTATGTAAGTAATACCACTTTCTAACTGTATTGAATCTTTAAATTTCCTGAAAAAATCCTCCACATTATCTAAAGCAAATAATCATGATTATATTATTTTCGACATTTCAACGGTTGCTGGACGTTGTGGTGGTGAAATAGCTCAAGTACCATCATCATCTTCACCACTAACATTGCCATTTGAAATAACAACTTCAAATCATCAATCATTTAGAAAAGAATTTATTGTCAAAAGCGTCAAAACATAAACCTCACCATTTGATTGATGTATTAGCTTATCAGAAATAATAGAAAAATCTCTACGCCAAAGCCATATTGAGAAGAAAAGGTAACAGCAAAAAAACAACAACAGACGAAGACATAAATACAGGGTATATTGTGGTAGACATCACCATCCACTACTGCCACCATCAACATCATTATAGCCAAACTGCCACAATGTCGCCTCTGTCAGCAAACATCAGGAGAAGTCATGTTATGCCGAAGAAGAAAAAAAGCGAAAACCGCCAACGCAATAGTAAGGGGGATCTTTGTTATTGTACTTTTAATGGTGGAGGTAACTTTTCCAGATTCTTAAGAATGTGATATGGCTTTTGTTTTGTTGTTGTTGAGGGGTTTTCTTATTGTTCTTACGTTTGTTTTATAAATTATAGTGAAATTTATTGTTGTAGCTGGCATAGATGAAGGAAAATGATCTTAGACCACAAAATATGCAACCTTTCACTCTCATTTTATTGGATTCTTGGGAAAATTGTAAAAAATAAAGGGAAATCACTTTTTTTTAAAGGTGAGAAGAAGTTCAAGACTACAAAATCTTCGTTTCTTTATCAAATAGCCCTGGAAGAAAAATATTACAAAAATCTGAATTTCTAGCTCGGATAGTCCTTGAAGAAAAGTAAATTAGAAATCAAGCTCTGAAAGTCCTGAAATAGCAAGACAAAAAGTAGAAAAATGCTCTGATAAACCCGGATAGTCCTTCAAGAAAAATATAATTAAAAAATCTACGCTTCAGGCCCTAATAGTCCTTCAAGAAAAATATTTAGAAGTCCACGCTTTAGATTCACACCTCAGGTCTTAATAGTCCAAGCCTCTGGCCTTAATTGTCCTTGAAGAAATTTATTTAAAAAACTCCACAATTCATGCTCTGATAGTCCTTAAAGAAAATTAATTAAAAGAACTCTACGCTTCATGCTCGGATTGTCCTTAAAGAAATGTATTTAATAAATCCACGATTCAGGTCTTAATAGTATTTGAAGAAATGTATTTAAAAAATAATCATGCTCTGATAGTCCATAAAGAAATTTATTTAAAAAAAAAATAAATTTCTTTAAAAAATCCACGCTTCTGGCTCTGATAGTCACCTCAAGAAATTTCTTTAAAAAATCCACGCTTCTGGCTCTGATAGTAACCTCAAGAAATTTCTTTAAAAAATCCACGCTTCTGGCTCTGATAGTAACCTCAAGAAATTTCTTTAAAAAATCCACGCTTCTGGCTCTGATAGTCCCCTCAAGAAATTTCTTTAAAAAATCCTCGCATCTGGCTCTGATAGTCCCCTCAAGAAATTTCTTTAAAAAATCCTCGCATCTGGCTCTGATAGTCCCCTCAAGAAATTTCTTTAAAAAATCCACGCTTCTGGCTCTGATAGTCCCCTCAAGAATTTTCTTTAAAAAATCCACGCTTCTGGCTCTGATAGTCCCCTCAAGAAATTTCTTTAAAAAAATCCACGCTTTTGGCTCTGATAGTCCTTCAATAAATTTCTATAAAAAATCCACGCTTTTGGCTCTGATAGTCTCTAATAGTCCTTGAAGTAAATTATTTAAAAAAACCACGCTTCAAGATCCGATAGTCCTTGAAGAAATTTATTGAAAAAATCCGCACTTCATTTCTCTAACAGTCCTTGAAGAAATCTGTTGAAAAAATCCACTCTTCAAGCTCCGATAGTCCTTGAAAAAAATAGCCAACCAATAGCCTTTAAAAAATATATAAAAAATCGACACTTATGTAAATAAACTTTTTTTGCACAAGGCAGGACGGGCGGAAAGCAGGAAATCTTTCGACAAATGACCTGAAGGCAGAGGTCTTTCGATAGAAAAGATTGAGTCAGGGAGTTTTTCAATAGATGAGCTGAAGCCATGAAATATTTCTATAGACGAAGGCAGGAAGTATTGCCATATATGGGCTGGAGGCAGGGGTCTTTTGACTCGCTGGAGTCAGGGACAAGCTGAAGGCAGGGAATTTTCGGATGGACGACCTAAAAATAGGAGGTCTTTCTATAGTCGAATTGAAAGCATGGAGTCTTTCTATGGACGAATTGAAAGCATGGAGTCTTTCTATGGACGAACTGAAGCCATGGAGTCTCCCTATAGATGATCTAAAAGCAGGGACCCTTTATGTAGAAGACAGGGAAGGCAGGGTGTCTTTCTATAGGCGACCTGAAAGCAGGAAGTCTTTCGGTAGACAAGCTGGTGTCAGGGAGTCTTTCAATAGATGAACTGAAGGCAGGGAGTTTTTATATGGACGAGCTGAATGCTGGGAGTTTTTCTATTGTTGAACTAACCGTAGATAATCTTTCTATAGCGGATCTGAAAACATGAAGTTTTTTTAAAGACAATCTGAAGGTAGGTAGTCTTCAATAGACCACCAGAAGGCAGTCAATTTGAGAGGCTGTGAGTCTTTTATAGACGAAGGCAGTCTTCTACAGACGATCTGAAGGCAGGGAGATTTATAAAAATCCTATCCTTTGTAATAAACGTCAGTCTTTTAATATTTTATTTTAAGTTGATACTAACTTGATTACAATTGTATATGACACTTAAACATATGCATGTATGTAAGATTGTATACCCCATACCCCTTCAAGATTTTTGTTATATTTCCGCACGTACATTATAACAAACTAACAAGCATTTAATTCATTTCGCAACGATTACAACAATGAGTTAAAAAGTAAAATTGATTTCTTATCCGCCAACAGCATCAGGATCTTCGATACACTGGCAGATGCTAATACCATTCAAAGGCTACCAGAGGCTCCCGCACTTTTGTAACTAAAAGAAACTCTATGGCTATGGCTGCGATCAATCAATGTAATTGAAATTGATTGATTTCGTTTATTGGATATAACAACAAGGAGATCAAAAAACCTCAAGCAATGGACCAGAATACTACACCACCATCGCCATCATCTTTGATTGACGACAATTGCAATATTGCGAATTTATAGCTATAACGTTGGGTGATCTATTTTTATGGCAAATTGATTTTGATTAATTTTCATCAAGGAAATATTCATAAGGGATCCGACGTATTTTTCTGTTTTAAAGCATTGTAACATGTTACGATATTGCGATAGCTTGTTGCAGATGCTATCATGTGCAATGGTTATAACTTACAATGCACATTTTCTTATAACAGGTTTATGTCAGTAAAAAAGAAAAAAAAAAACAGCAGAAATACCCCAGTCATTGTTAAGTGGCGTCCCTTTGTGAAGACACCAACAAAGCCATCAAGAAGTCATCATCAATATGGTTAATGTAAACTAACCAATCATCAGTAGAAGAAAAAAATTGTTAGACTTTGGGTTTTTTTCTTCTTAACTTTTTTATGGTTTAAATGTGCGGAATCTTAGTTAGTGTTTTGTGGTTTGATTTAGGTATTCAGAGAAGGTAATGCGGCATAGCTAAGGGTACAGTGACATGTGACAGTGGGGCAATAAAAATAAAAGTATCAGGATGGAAATATTATAAATCAGAAAAAGATATTCATTATAGACGTGCTTAAGCAGGACGACTTTATGTATGCGAACAAAAACCAGGAAGTCTTACTATAGACGAACTAAAGGCAAGAAGTTTTCCCACATACGAACTGAAGTCTGAGAGAATTTTATAGAATGCAGAGAATATTTCATGGGCGAGTGGAAGGCAGGGGTATTTACGTCAGCTGAAAATAGGGAGTCTTTAATAGGCTGGTGCTAGTATGCTAATAAGCTGCAAGTTTTATATCTGAAGGCAGGCAGTCTTCTAAAGACGAGCTGAAGGCAGGGGTCTTTTTACTTGCGTGCTGAGGAAGAAGGAGTCTTCTACAGACAAGCTTAAGGCAGGGTGTTGATCTATAGGTGAGCTAAAGGAATGCAGTTTTTTCTGAAGGCCAGGAGTCTGTTAAAGACGAGCTGAGGGCAGGGAGGTTTCCTATAGACGAGATTAAGACAGGAAATCTTATTATAGTTAGACTTAAGGCAGGGAGTCTTTCTATATGTGAATTGAAGACAAGGAGTCTTTTATAGACGAGCTGACTGCTGGGAGTCTTTCTATATCAGGGATGAAGACAGGAAGTCTTTCTATAGACTAGCCGAACCCAGGGAATCTTTTATAGACGAACTAAGAGTCTGTTACAAATGATCTGAATAAAGAGTTTTTAATACACTCTGAGGGCAGGAAGACTTCTTTTAAACGGGTTGAAGGCAAGTACATTTCCTATGGACGATCTGAAGGAGGATAGTCTTTAATCTACAGAATTAGAGGCTGGGAGTCTTTCCTACACCAGGTGAAGGCGTTGAATCTTATACAGACGAGCGTAGTGGGTAGAGTTTTAAAATGTCAAAGATAATCTGAATTCTTTCTGTGGACGTGCTAATGGCAGGGAGATTTTTTTCTACAGACAGGTGAGTCTTTGTAGACGAAGTGAAGGTAGTCTTTATAGACGATCTCAAAGGAGTCTCTGTCATTATAGTGGAGCTAGCCCCGCTGTAGAGGGTATATATTGACAAAGGAATGTATGACCTATGAGGCCTATCAGATTTATAAACCTGATTTTTTAAGTTGTTTCCTTGAATTTCTATAAATATTTTTCTTGTGAACTGAAAGCATGTACTTTTCAGGTCTTTATCCCTTTCAGTGCCAAAAAAATTTGTCGGAATAAAAATCTAAAATTTTGTTTAAAATTGTTTGTTTTTTAAAATTATATAAAGGGAAATAGTTTAGAAAAATAGGAATTGTCATTTCAACCCTCAGCCAGTTTCGTGTGTCTTTCAGCATAAACAAAAACATCAATAGTAACGGTACATAGGATAACCGAAAAATCGCAAAGAAAGAGAGTATTTTTAAATGTCGACTATATTCGACAAAAACACTGAAAGGGTTAAAGTAGAATTTTAGGCCCAAATCGTGGATTTTTTAAATATTTTTTGAGGGACTATCAAAGCCCGAAGCATGAACTTTTGTTTATATTTTTCTGAAGCGTGGATTCTTTAAAATTTTTTTCTTGAGGGACTATCAAAACCCGAAGCCTCAATTTTTTAAACATTTTTATTAAGGGACTTTCAAAGCCCGAAGCATGGATTGTTTAAACCTTTTCCTTTCAAAGCCCGATTTTTTAAACATTTTTCTTGACTATAAAAGCCCGAATCGTGGATTTTTTAAATATTTGTCTTGAGGGAATATCAAAGTCCGAAGCATGGAGTGGATTTTTAAACATTTTTTGAGGGACTATTGAAGTCCGAAGTGTGGATTTTTAAACATTTTTCTTGAGGGACTATAAAAGCCCGAAGAGTAGATTTTTTTAGAGTTTTTATATATCAAAGCTCGAAGCGTTGATTTTCATATCCTTTTCATGGGGACTATCAAAACCCTAAGTTGTTTTTTTATATTTCTCCTGAGACTATCAAAGTCTGAAAAGCGATGTATTTAAACATATTCTTGAGGATCTATTATTTATATTATAATTTTTTTATTAATTTTTTTTTTGAGGGGCTTTTAGTCCTCTAAGCTTGGGGTTTTAATATTTTTATCGGTGGACTATTAGACCTTCAATCGTGGATTTTTATAATATTTTTTTCGAAAGACTATTACACCTTCAGGCGTGCATTTTTTAAATATTTTTCTCGAAGGACTATTAGATCTCTATGCGAATATTTTTAAAATATTTTTCTCGAGGGACTATTAGACCTCTAAGCGTGGATTTTTTAAATCTTTTTCTCGAGGGACTATTAGACATCTAAGCGTGGATTTTTAAAATATTTCTTTCGAAAGACTATTCGACCTCTAAGCGTGGTTTTCTTAAATACTTTTTTCGAAAGACTACTCGACCTCTAAGCATGGATTTTTTAAATATTAGACAAAAATATTTTTAAGTGAGGATTTTTTTATAATTCCTTATGAGTTTATTATTAGGCCTCTAAACTATTATGAGAGTTCTTAGTTCTACGTCCATTTTTAAAAAAGCTAAAATAAGTGTTATTTGCCTTATTTATTTTAAAATAAATATCCTGAGAATTTCCTACGAATAATATAAATATTCATCCACTATGAATTATATCTATCAGTTTTTTTATATTAGTATTATTATTGTTGTAATGTTTTTTCCTCTGTCTTTTAATATCTTTGTTATACACTCACCTGGCCCTGATGGGGAAATGATATGGCAAATGTGCCATAACCATCAGCAATTGTCATCTTTTCATCTTCTGTGGTATTTGTGGAGCCCTCAACAATAAAGTACTCAACCAGGCCATTAACACCGGCATCCTTATCCAAGGCTTGAATATTGCGAAAAATCGTTGTCCCCACTGGAGTGCTCTGCAAAAGAATGAGAAAAAAAACAGAAAACGTAAATACACACACGGACATTAATAAACAAGAAAGAAAAAAATACACACAATCGATAATAGAGAGGAAGATATAACGACATGAAGGGAATAACATTAAATCAAGTGTATAAATACCAATTGCTAGATAGATGTTGGTTGGTTGGTCCGGCTATTTTGTAGTCAACATAAAAACTAAATTACTAAGTCAACATAATGGTCTGGCTGGCAAAATGAACAGGAGCAGACGCTTCAGAAGCTAGTAGAAGTTGAAAACCTGGCTGTGCCAGCTAAAATTGAAGTTTGAAATGAAATGAAGCAAAACTAAGCTGTCCTTTTGTATTCAATCTGTTGGCCCTATGCTGGGAGCCGTTGCGTTTTTTTTGTCGATTTGGTCTCTGGCCACCACATATGCTTCTGTAAATGGTATGAAATCATCAACTATGTGTGTGATTTTTTTTGTTTTCTTAGTCTCAACACTGATTATATTTTTCTTTTCTCATCGTCATCATCGTTGGAAGACGACGACGTCATTTCGTGTGTAATAGAGTGCAAAAATATAAAAATAAATAACCAAACCAACAATCATTACAATAGCAACAACAATAATAATAAAATCCAATATGAACATACATATATAATAATAAAAAATAGTAACAAAAAGAATGAAGAAGGAAGACAAAGGAGAGAAAGACAAAAACCACAAAGCTAACATATTCTATGTATAGCATTTACCATAAATTAATTTGTTGTTTAAGTTAGATGAGGCCTGAAGGCACAAACGATGGCCCAACGTCATTGGAACCCCAAGGAAAATGAGTTACAAGGAATAGGGATGGGGAATGATAAGTTCGGGAAGTTATTAAATGAACAGAAGAGAGGTCCTAGATTTTTAAAATATTTTTAACGAAGGATCATATTTTAACTGAAGGACTATCAAAGCTTCAGGCCTAGAGGTGTTTGAGGTTCTTTAAAGGCTCTAATCGTGGATTTTTAGACAAATATTTGTAAAGGTCGTTCAAGGTTCTAAGCGTAGATTTTCAAAAGAATAGTTGTGAAGGTTGATCAACGTTCTAAGCGTGGATTTAAAACCAGTAAGGAAAGTAGTAAAGTCGGACGGGGCCGACTATATGATACCCTTCACCACTATGGGTATATTAAACAGGACTATTAACATGAAATTGGATGAAATAAAATATGTGATATTTATCTAAATGTGAATCTACCTAGATCTATCCATAAAGTATGTAAATCGACTTCAAACAAATATAAATAGGTCATCCGTTGGGCTATGTCTGTCAAATTTCGTGCAAATCGAAAGATATATAGCGACTTTGGTCCACCATTTACATGAAATCGGACGAAACTATATATGGGAGCTATATCTAAATCTGGACCGATTTTCTCGAAACTTGGCAGACATCATTCTAGGCTCAATTCAGTACGTTATGCCAAATTTCGTGCAAATCGAAAGATATATAAGGACTTTGGGGCACCATTTACATGAAATCGGACGAAACTATACATGGGAGCTATATCTAAATCTGGACCGATTTTCTCGAAACTTGGCAGACATAATTCTAGGCTCAATTCAGTACGTTATGCCAAATTTGGTGCAAATCGAAAGATATATAGGGACTTTGGAGCACCATTTACATGAAATCGGACGAAACTATATATGGGAGCTATATCTAAATCTGAACCGATTTTCACGAAACTTGGCAGACATCATTCTAGACCTAATTGATTAGGCTGTACCAAATTTCGTGCAAATCGAAAGATATATAGCGACTTTGGTCCACCATTTACATGAAATCGGACGAATCTATATATGGGAGCTATATCTAAATCTGGACCGATTTTTTCGAAACTTAGCAGACATCATTCAAGGCTCAATTCAGTACGTTATGCCAAATTTCGTGCAAATCGAAAGATATATAGGGACTTTGGGGCACCATTTACATGAAATCGGACGAAACTATACATGGGAGCTATATCTAAATCTGGACCGATTTTCTCGAAACTTGGCAGACATAATTCTATGCTCAATTCAGTACGTCATGCCAAATTTGGTGCAAATCGAAAGATATATAGGGACTTTGGAGCACCATTTACCTGAAATCGGACGAAACTATATATGGGAGCTATATCTAAATCTGGACCGATTTTCACGAAACTTGGCAGACATCATTCAAGGCTCAATTCAGTACGTTATGCCAAATTTCGTGCAAATCGAAAGATATATAGGGACTTTGGGGCACCATTTACATGAAATCGGACGAAACTATACATGGGAGCTATATCTAAATCTGGACCGATTTTCTCGAAACTTGGCAGACATAATTCTGTGCTCAATTCAGTACGTCATGCCAAATTTGTTGCAAATCGAAAGATATATAGGGACTTTGGAGCACCATTTACCTGAAATCGGACGAAACTATATATGGGAGCTATATCTAAATCTGGACCGATTTTCACGAAACTTGGCAGACATCATTCTAGACCTAATTGATTAGGCTGTACCAAATTTCGTGCAAATCGAAAGATATATAGGGACTTTGGGGCACCATTTACATGAAATCGGACGAAACTATACATGGGAGCTATATCTAAATCTGGACCGATTTTCTCGAAACTTGGCAGACATAATTCTATGCTCAATTCAGTACGTCATGCAAAATTTGGTGCAAATCGAAAGATATATAGGGACTTTGGAGCACCATTTACCTGAAATCGGACGAAACTATATATGGGAGCTATATCTAAATCTGGACCGATTTTCACGAAACTTGGCAGACATCATTCTAGACCTAATTGATTAGGCTGTACCAAATTTCGTGCAAATCGAAAGATATATAGGGACCGTTTACATTAAATCGGTTAAATATATATATGGGAGCTATATCTAAATCTGAACCGATTTTTGCAAATTTCAATAGGGTTCGTCCTTGGGCCGAATAAGTGACCTATGCCAAATTTCATCTAAATCGGATAATAAATGCGACCTGTACTTTGTTTACAATTTAACACCAACAGACGGACAGACGGACGGACGGACATTCATAAATCGACTCAGAAAGTGATTCTATGCATATTCTCAAAAGGAATTATGGGTCTACCTCGTTTCCTTTTGCCTGTTACAAACATATGCACAAAGACATAATACCCTGTACCACAGTGTGGTGAAGGGTATAAACATATTTTTGAGGATCTTTGAGGGCTCTAAGCCTGGATTTTAAAAGGAATATTTTCGAAGGTCGGGGAAGGTTTTAAACGTGGATTTTTAAAGAATTTTTTGAGGATCTTTGAAGGCCATAAGCGTGGATTTTGAAAAGAATATTTTTAAGGATTTTGGAGGCTCTGAGCCTGGATTTTTTAAAGAATAATTTGGATGAACTTTCAAACCTGTGTGGATTTTTTAAAGAATATTTTTGAAGGTATTTCAAGGCTCTAAGCGTGGAGTATTTTAAAGAATATTTGGGAAGGTATTTCAAGGCTCTAAGCGTGGATTTTTTTAAAGAATATTTGGGAAGGTATTTCAAGGCTCTAAGCGTGGATTTTTTTAAAGAATATTTGGGAAGGTATTTCAAGGCTCTAAGCGTGGAGTATTTTAAAGAATATTTGGGAAGGTATTTCAAGGCTCTAAGCGTGGAGTATTTTAAAGAATATTTGGGAAGGTATTTCAAGGCTCTAAGCGTGGATTTTTAAAGAATATTTGGGAAGGTATTTCAAGGCTCTAAGCGTGGATTTTAAAGAATATTTGGGAAGGTATTTCAAGGCTCTAAGCGTGGATTTTTTAAAGAATATTTTTGAAGTTATTTGATGGGCGTAAGCGTGGATTTTCTAAAGAATATTTTTGAAGTTATTTTTCTAAAGAATATTTTTGAAGTGTCTTTAAAGTCTTTAAAGGATCTAAGCCTGGATTTTTTAAAGAATATTTTTCAATCTCTTTAAAGGCTCTGAGCCTGGATTTTTTAAAGAAAAATTTTCAAGCTCTTTAAGGGCTCTACGCCTGGATTTTTAAAGACTATTTTTCAAGCTCTTTAAAAGCTCTACGCCTGGAATTTTTAAAGAACATTTTTAAGGTCTTTAAAGGCTCTACGCCTGGATTTTTAAAGAATACTTTTAAGGTCTTTGCAAGAGCTAAGTTCTCGACTTTTTGATTTCCCTAACTTCTCAATCTTCCCTGTTAAAACATTCCTCACAAATCTAACCAAAGCAGGATATCTCTCACAACATTTCATGACAAAGATGTGTTGCATGCAGCTGCCGCTTCTGCTGTGGCCGATGATGTTCTTGTTGCCTATTACTATTATGACTGTTATTGCTGTTGATGTGGTCGGAGCATATTTTTGCTGTCCGCCTAGAGAGTGTCTAAGAATGTCCCTTATTTCATGTAAAGGGCGACATAAGAATGTTAGTTTGATGTACGAAGCTTTACATGGTCAGTAGTCCGTGAGTACAGCTGAGGGAAGTATGGCACCACAACACATTGCTGGAATCTCATCCCCCAGTTGAGTTGGGATAGCTATGTGAATGTCTCCATATACCACATAGATATTTTTTAGTTGGACAGCAGTAACAAATATTAATCAGTTTTGAAAATGTGCTGTGTGTGTTGTGTTGGAATTCTTAAAGTTCAGTCATTTTCAGTCCGTTTATTGTAATGACAATGAACTTGGACTTGTCTTGGGCCATAGCTATGGTCAACATAAATTGGTATTCTAGTTGGCTATTTTGTGAGTGAGTGTGTGTGTGCGCTCTTCATTGTCAAGTTATGTTTACTCCATTGACCGCATAGAGAGTTGATTGTTGTCATAAATGGTTATAGTGTTAATCATGGTTGATTCTTTTGTCTCCATTTAAAGGCAAAAGTGTTTGATGAAAATAATTTCTGTTGTCGTTTGGTTGTAGTTTTTGCTGTTTTTTCTATTTAATAATGATAGCTATTTGAGAAAATGTGTTTTCTTCGGTATATTTGGTAGCAAAAAT